CGTTCATTCTTTTACAGAACAATGTGAATGAATGATGCGGCCGTGTGGCCGGAGCACAGTACAGCAGCGCTGATTTCAAAGACTGACAACTAGTATGGGAACCTCTTCCCTATTGCTGTCACAGGGAGGGGGGAGTATCAGGCAGCAGCTGCATCATTGGGAACATGGTACATGTTCCACCCTAAAAACGGGTAAAGTTCCCAAAGGTGAATTTATCCTTTAAAGATGACCTCCATGTAGATTATAAGAAGTGAATTGTCAGTATCATCATATAAAACAGCAGAATGTGCAGACTTTCATGATACTAACTTTAAATAGACCTTTATGAAAACAAATTTATTTTGCACAATAAATTAAAATAGTCTAGAAAAATATTAAAACACTTTCAGTGCATCAATGTGAACACAACCCTGTACATAAGGACCACCTTATTCAGGGGTGTCATACTCCATTTCATTGTGGCGGTATCAGTATTATGGTTGGGCCAGTTGTATTTGTAAGACTAGATGTCCAGAGCACCCCACCTCCCTCTTCCATCAGATTTCAAGAGCCCCTCACCGTCATAAGTGCACATTCCCCCACCCTCTCTTACATCGCAGTGCACCCTCATTACCTTGTGCTGTTGCCAAGAAGAAACTGGGGGGGGGGGGATTTGGAAAGCAGAAAGTGCACAGTCTGGAGGAGGACCAGAGGAGGGCTGGAGTCAGCTTCCAGAGCCTGTAGGAGAAGGTCTATCCTCTTCGCTGGGACAAGATGAGGGCGGAGATAAAGGGGGTGTTGCAGCTACAGGAGAGGTGCGAGGACCACATGAAATTGCCTGGCTGGCCATGTGTTTGACCTAATCCAACGCCATTATTTCTGTACATCATTACTGAACATCTGACAATGTTGCAGCTAATATACAGTGAAGGAAGCAGGGTGCTCAATAATTTTGACCTTTTGCTATTAAACATGTGCAGTAAAAAAATGTAAGAAATCAAATTTTGTCATAAATTTAGGCCAAAATGTATCCTGCTCCATGTCTTTGCTAAAATAAAATCCAAATAGGTGTAAATTAATTGGTTTACATGAAAGTTATAGCGTTTACAAATGGTGGTATAGATACTGGAATTTTTTTTTTTTGTATACTAGTAATGGTGGCGATTAGAGACTTGCAGTGGGACTGTCAGGCATTCTGACACTGGGGGAGAACTGACTGTCACTGACATCCCCAGTGACTCTAATAAAGTGATCAATGCTAATAAAAAGCACTGACACTATACTAATGGCACTGGGCAGGAAGGGGTTAAGATCTGGGGCAATCAAAGGGTTAACTGTGTGCTGTGTTTTACTGTGTAAGCACATTGGTTTGTATGGCTCGGCTATGCAGAGCCATACAAAACAGTGTGCAGGAGCTGACAGGGGAAAGATCTGTATTGTTTACATACATACCTCTTCCCCGTCAGTGATACTCGGCGATCGCCAGGTGGCGGCGGGGAACCACCGGCCGGGACCCGGTGATCGATAGCTGAGCCCGCCACTGGCGGCCCCTAACCTGAAATGCAAACTCATGTGTATATGTACGTGATTTTGCGCAGCCCTGCAGCAGTATTTTTGCTATAGGGTGGCGGGCAAGCGGTTAAAAAAATAAAATGATCACAGAGCAGGATAACAACATATTTGCTAATTGCAGGGCAAGGGCTCAGAGTTGTCAGCCTGCAACAGGAAACGCTGTTACTGGCGCTCTCTCTAGGTGAAGAAAACGTTTCAACAAATTCAAAAACAAAAATGATTTACTTAAAGCAGACCTTCTCTCTCTTCTTTTCACAACTTTTCTTTCATCCGCTTGTTAGACAATTGGATGTTACGTTTATGGGGGGGGGGGGGGGGGGGGTATAGTATTTTTCCAATGGGTCCTGGCCAGCCACTTCAGCTTTTTCACCTAGGCAATCTCGCCGGCCACCACAACTTAGCTCTTTCCTTACATCTTTGAATGAGCCTCCTGCAGTGCTTTGTGAAAGTGCCAAGTACGTATCATGGGACATGGTGCATGGGACTGGACTGGAGAGGCCAGATAAGAGAGACACTATAGTGTGTTGGTCAGATTGTAGATTCTGGTATGGTGATATCAGAGGATCTTGGGTTTCTGCGGAATGACGGTTTGTTTTTATCCTTTTTATCTGATATGTATTACAGGGTAACTCACCCAATATGCTGGTCTTTTTAAAAATGCCAGGCCGCTTTAGGCTGGTCACATTCTAGGAGCCCAGAAGTCATTGGGCCTTAAAAATATATATGGTCTTCCACAATACCACAATGTGAGGACATTGCCTATTCAGCTTGCTTGCCTCTGTAAAATACCCTTTAATTTCCTGGATTCAGTTGTCTAATGTGGATATTTGAAATATTTTTTCTTGTTACATTAGTTCTAAAACCTTTACTGAGATACATTTTGTAGGCTGCCGGTATTGGCCTTTTTATCTGAGAATGTTACTTGCTTGGCTGCAGGGTGGATTTGATTTAAATCCTAGTTTTTACTACATAAAGACTAATTCTTGCTGGTATAACTTTAATATGCAAGTAGATGAAGATTTTTAGAATAACTTTTCATATTAGTTTTTTTATCCCCAGTTTAATAGGTTAATCATTCATATTTGGACAACTTTTCTGTTGTACTTAGGAAGGAGAAAAATAATCATTACCTTAATAATAACAATTTAAATAGATTTATTCAACTGAAACAATAACATTCCAGCATATGTGATTTGCTTAAACAAACATCCATGTTTGTTAACTAATTTGGCTAAACAAAAATATATATATTTTAAGAAACGTAGACTGTCAGCCCCTTCCTCCTCACACTTAGTTTCACTTTCTTCTTGTGCAGATCTATTCCACTCCAAACAATCAGAAAAATATTGTTTCTATTCTATTCACTGAACTTCTTGAAACTTAGCACTGAAGGGGTTGATTCTGTATTCATAGGTTTGTAGAAGTTAGGATTAAGGTCTTTTTCTTAACTCTGTTCATGTTATAACATTTTTGCTGTGAAGAAGAGGCCTGTGATCTCCGCTGAGTCAAATTCAGTTTTGAGAACTGCAAAGTAAACCAGTCATCTGTGATAATATCTTGTAGGCAGAGAAACTGCCCAATAATCTTACAAAAACCCCTGGAAGAGCATGACATTGTGAATGGATTCATGGAATTTATTTACCAAAACAATTAAACATATACAGCCTTATTCTACATAATTAAAAACTAATCTTTATTTCATGATGGAATAACCTTTGGATGGTAATATATTTTCCTCAAAAAAAGCATTTTATTCAAAAAAAAAATCCAATTTAAATAAAAAAAATCCAATTTAAATAAAAATAATCTGATTTTTTTTTTTTTTTTTTTTTTTTTTTTTTTTTTTTAAATCATTGATTTTTATCCACCCTGCTTGGCTGTCATGCTGATCTAGTAACCTTTTTGGGGGGAGTTGTCCTGAACAGTTGGAAGTGTGAACTTCATTGGCTACATACTTGTTTAAGGTGCTTGAAAAATCTGATTTTAGCTCTTTATTGCAAGTTTCATTTTAAGAACAAATTCAGGCTCCACTCCCTACCAACCTAATGTACTCTAACCTCCCCACCTCCCTTCCCCTCCTCGCCAACCACCCGTAGATTTGATTGGGGCAATGCTCCAGCGATATAGACAATTCAAGTGAATTGCAAGTTATTGTGCAGGCAGAGTTGCCTCTGAGAAGATGTATGAACATAGAATATAAATACTGTGTGAAGCTGCCACCTTGAAGGGAGGTAAGTGGGTACTTGGGTTAGTTTTGAGTAGGTAAGGAAGGCAGTGAGTCGGGTGGTAAGGGACTTTTTATCCAAACCCAGACTTGTCCCTTAAAGTGATTGTAAACATCTGACATGAAATATGAACAAAGCATATCCCTCTATAGTGTGTACTTGTCTCAATTAAGAGCACTAAGTGTCATTTTTGTCTGTTGCCTCATTCCTGTGCGATCAGCATGAATCACTTCTAATGAGCTTTCCTGACACCAAGAGAAAAATGAGGGTCCTACATCAGATTGACCGCCTGAGCTCTGTTCCTGTGACAGCTTACAGGAACAGAGCTGAAGCTGTAAAGGGGGGTGTGTCTTTTCCTTCCAATCAGCTCTCGACACTCTCCTCACTGAGATCTGAAGTGTGCATCCTCGGCTCTCCGCCCCCTTTATTCTGATGGCTCAAACAAGCTTTATAATTCAGCACTTTGAACTGCTGTAGAGAAGAAAAGACTGGTCCCATGAGGCCTTGCAAGACTGACAGCCACAGGCAAGACTTGCAGAGGCATGATGGGACTTGTATTTCAACAGCTGGAGGGCCATAGTTTGGAGACAGTTTGATCTAAAGAGACCGGTTCATTGTTTGAAACCCATGATGAAGCCATCCAATAAAGGACGAGTTATTGCTCTAACCCACGGGTGTCAAACTGGCGGCCCTCCAGATGTTGCCAAACTACATGTCCCATGAGGCATTGCAAGATTGACAGTTACAAGCATGACTCCCAAAGGCAGAGGCACAATGGGATTTGTAGTTTTGCAACAGCTGAAGGGCCGCCAGTTTGACACCCCTGTTCTAACCCATTAGGTGTTATGTAAATTTAAGTTTGAACTATTGAGCCCCATAAGCAACAAACTGCTGTACAACGAGAGAGCAAAGAGATCAAAAACCATGTGATCTTTCTGGCTTTATAAAATTTTGATTATAAAGAAAATACATGCAAAAACACTATGTCCTGCCTATAACAGAAAAACCTTTTCAAAATCGTCCATCCTGTGGTGCTTTCTGTAAGCTCATTATAATGTCTGATGTTTTTGCTGGTGACAGATATACTTTATTTTTATTAAAAATGTAACTGGCAAAAGTTATAAAGAAATAAAACAAAGGTTTATCAATAAAAAGTAAATATCATTCAGCAGGTTTGTTTGGTCCTCGCATACCTTCCTTACAGCAGTATAATTTTTCTTTCAGGATTCCCAAGAGAAGGAAGTGGTTACACCAGAAAAAGCAGAAGAGCAAAAACTGAAGGCCAAATATCCCAATCTAGGGCAGAAGCCAGGAGGATCGGACTTCCTCATGAAGAGGCTTCAGAAAGGGGTAGGTGGCTGTCTGGAGAACATTACACTTTCCTATGTTATATATTGTTTTCTTGAATCCCAAAAAATTGAAAAGGTGAACCCACACTGTACACCCTCGACACCCCCCCTGGCGAGGGTATCGGGAGGCTATACGGTGTTAGTTTACCTTTTTATACTTTTTCATAATTTTCTGAAAAGGTGAGTTAACCCCTTGAGGCATGCATCCATGGGCTTGTAAGATATCTGATGGGTGGCATGCTAAGTTGCTGTTGCCAGTTTGCCAAACATCCCTTCTTTACCTCTTGTACTGAGATTGGCATCCTGTTGTATACAGCCACAAGGCCATAGACAGGAAGGCCAGGTTGCTGAGCTCCCTTTTGTTCTATGGCCACATGTTTCTTCTCTCATCAGTCTACAGCTGTCTCTTAATGCGTGTGAATCTCAAAGGACTGGAGGGGCAAAGAGCTGGCACAGAATGCTTCTGAATATTTGTTTATACGGCAGGATATTAATCATGATGAGACTGAGCATATCAGATTTGGATCTGCTGTAGTCTGGGATGGGAATGCGCTCTGTCTTCATCATTATTATATCCTTGTATTTTTGTGAAGTGCCCCTAGTGAATTTAGAGTCCAGGTGATTTGCGGATTAACATTAACACATTTAACCAGGGTGGATTTGATTTAAATCAAACTGATTTAAATCACGATTTAAATCACTAGTCAGTAAGGCTTGATTTAAATCCTAGTTTTCTACATAAAGACTAATTCTTGCTGGTATAACTTTAATATGCAAGTAGATGAAGATTTTTAGAATAACAACTTTTCATATTAGTTTTTTTTATCCCCAGTTTAATAGGTTAATCATTTGTATTTGGACAACTTTTCTGTTGTACTTAGGAAGGAGAAAAATAATCATTACCTTAATAATAACAATTTAAATAGATTTATTCATCTGAAACAATAACATTACAGCATAGGTGATTTGCTTAAACAAACATCCATGTTTGTTAACTAATTTGGCTAAACAAAATATATATATATTTTAAGAAACATAGGCTGCCAGCCCCTTCCTCCTCACACTTAGTTTCACTTTCTTCTTGTGCAGATCTATTCCACTTCAAACAATCAGAAAAATATTGTTTCTATTCTATTCACTGAACTTCTTGAAACTTAGCACTGAGGGGGTTGATTCTGTATTCATAGGTTTGTAGAAGTTAGGATGAAGGTCTTTTTCTTAACTCTGTTCATGTTATAACATTTTTGCTGTGAAGAAAAGACATGTGATCTCCGCTGAGTCAAATTCAGTTTTGAGAACTGCAAAAGTAAACCAAGCATCTGTGATAATATCTTGTAGGCAGAGAAACTGCCCAATAATCTTACAAAAACCTCTGGAAAAGCATGATATTGTGAATGGATTAATGGAATTTATTTACCAAAAAAATTAAACATATACAGCCTTATTCTACATAATTAAAAAACGAATCTTTATTTCATGATGGAATAACCTTTGGATGGTAATATATTTTCCTCAAAAAGCATTTTATTTAAAAAAATCCGATTAAAATCAAAAAGTCCGATTTAAATAAAAAAAAAATCAATTTTTTTTTTTTTTTTTTTTTAAAATCATTGATTTTTATCCACCCTGCTTTGTATTCATTCAGAAAATACACAGCATTTTTTAAATGGCGGCCAAGTAGTGATCACTGGAATAGCAATGTCTACTAAAGTGATTTCCAACTTCCAAGGGCATCCGCCAGGGATGGTATATACATGGTTACATCAGTCCAAGCTGGTACAATGTGACTATGTATAAACTATCCATACCTGGAATTCATATTTAAAGGCTAAATTCACCTTTGGGAACGTTACATGCTCCTCTTGCTTTCAGGGTAAAATGTGTAACATGTACCTGCTCCTGCAGCCTCTCCCTAATTTTCCCACCACCCCACCTCCCTTGTGATAGCGGGCTGGAGACCTTCTTCCCGTACCCACTGCCAGAGTTTGAAAAGAACTTGGCTGTGCAGGGCTACGCCCACACAGACGCGTCATTCATGCACATTCTGTGTATAATGAACTACAAGTACAGACAGCCTTTGCGCAATTTTGGCTTGTAGTTTTCAATGAACTGCAAGGGCGCTAGTGAGTGTTCTAGTAGTCCATTGTTTCTTCCTGTCATTGTGTAACTGCCTGCTTGTACACTGACAGTCTGCAGGAGTCTGAGAATGCAATGGCGATCTGCCGATCACTGGTGCAATGCTTTACAGGCTTCTGAAGGAAAAAAAAAAACAATGAAGCACATTTTTTTACTGTGTTTTTATTATTACTTGAAAAAAAGAGAAGTGCTCTGTCTCTTGAAAATTCCAAAGTGCAATTGTATATACAATATAACTACCGGTATATCAAACCATATTATTATAGAGAAAAATTGTTAACGTGAGCTTAATATATGCAGTAACCAAAATAAATATAAAGATAACATTACAAGTAAGGTTGTGCCAAAACATTATACTCGACTTTCAAAAAATAAAGCTAGAAGAGTATATATCCGTACAGATGGACAAATGTGTGTTTGGACAATAACAAGCTACCGTATTTGCCGGCGTATAAGACGACTTTTTGACCCTTGAAAATCTTCTCAAAAGTCGGGGGTCGTCTTATACGCCGGTACACATGTTAGGGGGGCTGCGGCATTAAGTACAGGGGTTTGCAGGGGCTGACGTCTCTTACCTGGATCCAGTCCCACGACGATCCGGTCCAGGAAGCGCGGCGTCTCCTTCAGTTCAGCCACTGGATGTTTGTGCGGCTGCGTGGCTCCGCCTCCTCACCGGTGATTGGCCGCCAGAACTGTAGCTCAGGAAAGGCACACAGGCGGCCAATCACCGGCGAGGGGGCGGAGCCGAGCGGCCCCGCGAAAATTGAGTGCCGGAGCAGCAGGTAAGTGCTCTGTGTAGAGGTGCTGCTGCAACCACATATGCTGGCTGCAGCAGCACCATACGAGAACAGGGTCAGCAAGTCTCAGTGGGAGGAATAGTGCCCCATCATTGGTGTCACTGATACCAATGATGGGGCACTATTCCTCCCACTGATACCAACGATGGGGCACTATTCCTCCCACTGACACCAACGATGGGGCACTATTCCTCCCCCCCACTGACACCAACGATGGGGCACTATTCCCCCCCCACACTGACACCAACGATGGGGCACTATTCCTCCCCCCACTGACACCAATGATGGAGCACTATTCCACCCCTCACTGACACCAATGATGGGACACCATTCCTCCCACTGACACCAATGATGGGGCACTATTCCTGCCACTGATACCAATGATGGGGCACTATTCCTGCCACTGATACCAATGATGGGGCACTATTCCCCCACTGATACCAATGATGGGGCACTATTCCTCCCACTGATGCCAATGATGGGGCACCATTCCTGCCACTGATACCAATGATGGGGCACCTATTCCCCCCACTGATACCAATGATGGGGCACTATTCCTCCCACTGATACCAATGATGGGACACTATTCCCCCCACTGATACCAATGATGGGGCACTATTCCTCCCACTGATGCCAATGATGGGGCACCATTCCTGCCACTGATACCAATGATGGGGCACCTATTCCCCCCACTGATACCAATGATGGGGCACTATTCCTCCCACTGATACCAATGATGGGGCACCATTCCTCCCACTGACACCAATGATGGGGCACTATTCCTCCCACTGATACCAATGATGGGGCACTATTCCTCCCACTGACATCAATGATGGGGCACTATTCCTCCCACTGGTGTGCATTGGAAGAGGGGTAGTCTTATACGGCGAGTATAGCCCAAACTACATTTTAGCAGGAAAAGTAGGGGGGTCGTCTTATACGCCCAGTCGTCTTATACGCCGGCAAATACGGTAGATGCCTAAATGTGTCAAAAACGTGCAAGCGTAAAAGGTGTATATGATATAACCCAGTACTTCACTCTCAAAATAGAAAAAACAAAAAAAAGTGTATATGCATGCAGATGGACAAATGTACGTATGGATAAAAGTTAAATGAACAAGCAAACAAAGTTGAAGATGAATAAAGCAACCAAATGTGCAGAATGTCGGTACAGATGAATAGGTATCCTGGTGCACAATCCAAAATCAAGATGGAAAATCCCAAAGGAAAAGAAGACACACTTCAAAGTGTAATATGGCGGGCATTCAGTGCTGGAGGAATAGAGGGTGCCAGGAAATCACACCCTCATCATAGAGATCATGAAGCGCCTTGCTGTCCCACAGTACAAAATATTCAGACACACCACTCCATCTAGATACAGTCCTGTATAGGTGTGCTCAGCACAGAGGAGTTAAAAACAAGAAGGGACCGCAATGGCGCACTATGTTAAAATCAAGGGCTTTTAGTATGGTAATGCACTTACAATAAGAAGACAATCACAAGCATATAATAAACTATGAGCATCACCAAATTCCTCCAGAGTGCAGAGCAGGGTCATGTGTTTGGCCCTGCACTGATGCGTTTCACTGTAAACCGCATCTTCAGAAGATAGAGGCCTCTATGCACAATTGCACTTTGGGTTTTTTAAGAGATCGTGCACCCCCTTTTTTTGAAGTAGTTGTTTTACATCTAGTGTCTAGATTGTGTAGTGGATACAGCAGTCTTTATCTTCTGTTTTTGCTAGCGCAAGTTAATTATTTCATTTGTTTTAATTTTGTTTATTATTCTTCTTATTCTTTAGCCACTTGCCCTCCAGAGGATTCTACCCCCCCCCCCCCCCCCCCACCCCCCCTCTTCCTGACCAGACCATTTTTTTTTCGAAACGATGCTGCGCTACTTTAACTGACAATTGTGCAGTCATGCAACACTGCAACCAAATGAAATTTGTCCTTTTTTCCCCACAAATAGAGCTTTCTTTTGGTGGTATTTGATTGCGGTTTTTATTTTTTGCACTATAAAAAAAAGGCCGCTAATTTTGAAAAAAAAAAAAACCAAAACATTTTTGACT